GACGTCTAAGAAAATCCCCCTGGAGCAGCCAATCAGACAGAAATATGTGGACAAGCTTGACCCACTTTCTTCGGCACGGTACAAGGACAAGCTGATGTTGATCAACGGAATAGATCCTTATGAAATAAGCAAGTGTGACTAGCGTGCCGACCCAGAAGGACTCCCAGATGTAACATACCCAGACATTGTGAATTACCTGGTTCATTCTCAGAGTGCCTACACGTTAAAGGATTTGAAGGCTTACAAGTCCATGGAGTCTTACAACCAGTTTGTTTGTGGTTGGGTGAAAGATGTTGGCCACTTTTCGTCATTTACTACGAAGAACGTCGCGCTATCCGCAAAGGTATTTTTTTATATACAGTTACTGCTTCAGTATACGTTTTGTAGCCTACTGTATGGCCTTTCATTGTTTTGCAGTATATAATGCTGTAATTACCGCTTCCCACAGGTATACTTATGAATTTGGCCGAGTAATACCTTCATCACCATGCCTCGTCGTTTATGTCTATATCATCAAACAAAAACCCATGCCACCCGTCCTCAAAATCAAAGACATATTAAAAATAGTAAAATACCATAGGTGTTTGAAATTCTGGCTGTAAATTGAGATACAAATCATATAAAAAATAAGGGTATTACTATATAAAAAAAGAATAGTAATACCCTTTTTTTATATATATTTTTTTTATCTCAATGTACAGTCAGAATTTATGAAAATACTATGGATGTTATATAGATCTATGGCCTATCTATGGTGCATTGGAAGTTCTTTTTCTTAATATGTAATTTACAAATGCAAGATTGCTAAATTAATGAGTACAATTCCATGTATTCAAATTAAAGTGTCTATATTTATGTAGCAGTATACAAATGCTTACTGTTGTTACTTTATTTAATTTCAGTCATCTGATTAATATATGTTATAAACTATATTAATGCAGTTGATGGTCATTCAGCAAACTTCATCCATCTACTATAAATACATTTTCATTGATAATGACTTTCAACTCATTGCCCATCACTAATAGTCTGACATAAATTTCTAATCTGTTGTACTTCAATTAACAAACTCATGTTCCATATTACAGGTCCGACACTCACAACGGATGAATGATCCACCTCTTCAACCATGGGTTGTCGCCGACATGGATGGAACCATTATCGGTGCACATTGCACATGCATGGCTGGCCTCGGTGAATCATGTAGTCATGTTGGTGCTTTGTTGTTTTGGGTGGAGGCTGAAGTAAAGATCCGAAATGCAAAGACAGTAACTCAATCTCCAGCTTACTGGCTTCTTCCAACTGGGATACAGAAGGTTGCCTATGATGAAGTTAGGGACATTGACTTCACCTCAGCAAGTACCAAAAAGCGACAACTTGATGAGAGAATCATGTCGCCACAAACCCCCAAGTCACCAAGAACATCTAACAGTCATGATGTGCCAGAGCCATCAAGGGAAGAGAGAGACATTTTTCTGAAAAGATTGTATGAATCTAAGTCAAAGTCTGTTTTGTTGTCTGTCATGCCAGGATATGCTCAACATTTTAAACCTACCTCCCTGGATGTGAATTTGCCAAAAGTTCTTTCGGAATTATTCGATGAAAAGTGTGTGGGAATGACATCAAAGGACATTGAGAATCATTGTGATATAATTTGTGATGATATTACTATTACACCGTCGCAAGCAGCAGCAGTGGAGGAGAGGACCCGTTCCCAGGCTACAAGTAAAGACTGGTTTTGATTCCGCACAGGACGTATAACTGCATCCCGCTTTCATGCAGTGTGCCATACGAAGCTCGACAAACCATCACAGAGTCTAATTAAAGCAGTGTGCTATCCCAGCAGTTACAAATTCAGGACAAAGGCCACTGCCTGGGGATGTGAACATGAAAGGGATGCCATTGAGGCATATCGTCAACAGGCAAAAACGTGTCATGATAATTTTGAATCCAGTCAGTGTGGATTATTCCTGAGCACTCAATATCCATATATTGGTGCTACACCTGATGGATTGGTATCCTGTATATGTTGTGGAGATGGTTGTGTGGAGGTCAAGTGTCCCTACTGATTGAAAGAGGGAGACTTAAGTGAACCTGGAAAGGACTTCTGCCTTGAGAAGTTAGGAGATGGACTTCAACTGAAAAGGACCCATCCTTACTATTACCAGGTTCAAGCCCAGATATTTGTGTGCGAAAAAGACTTTTGCGATTTTGTTGTCTGGACACCACAAGATGTTCACATAGAACGGATACAGCCGGACCCAGTGTTTTGGAATGAGGCAAGAGGAAAAGCAGAGAAATTTTTCAAAAGTGCTGTTCTCCCAGAACTTGTATGCAAACAATTTTCGAGGCCTCTCCCTGTAGCTATGTGCTCACAAGCAAATGAACTAAGTAAGCAGAGACAGAAAGTAATCACCCCCATGATTGTTCCTACTGACAATTCAGGAAACATCATTATTTGTATTTGCAGAAAAGTCTACGACGACACTGAAGACCGAGTCATTGGATGCGTCAACCAGAACTGTCCTTTTGTATGGTTACACTTTAAATGTGTAGGGTTGAAACGTGCCCCAAAGAAGAGTTCAGCTTGGTACTGTCCTGAATGTAGGAAGTTGCCCGAGTTCATGAAGAAAAAGTAGACTCCGTTGACTGTAGGAACTTATGTGATGTACTAGTACATTTGTTTTCAAAATCTGCCTTTATGAGGGAATAAAGATGTAGTACAGTACTTTAAATGTGAAATTATACATTCCTTCATTATAGACTAAGAGTCGTTGAACATGTAACTATAAATGTGAAAAAGAGTTGAATGAACATGTCAACATTCATGTGCTCTTCAATTTATGTACATGTACTATCTATAAATATATATATAGCAATGCAGCAAGAAATGATTTTATGTCTGAGAAAATAATGTGCAAGTGTTTCTTGACTGTCTCGAGAAACACGGATTACTATTTTTACAGATCTGATTCTCTGAAAGGATTCAGAATCATTAAAATGTCTTAAACTTATCTTCTATAGTTTTTGTCTTGTATGAATCCATTTAGACAGGCATTGGTCTCACAATCTCTTAAAATTAATATATGGTCAAGCACTTTTTCAAATAGCCCTTGTTTACATTAATATTATGGTGATCAGCTAGTATATATGTATTTATAGACATTTCTTTATTTTCACACACACATTAAATAATATTATAACATTTATATGAAATTGAGTCTTAAGCTTACAAATTATAACTTAATTTATTTTAAGAAAGTTGTGAGACCATTGTCTGATACCTTTATAGTGCATTTCTCTGTGACATTTCATTGATTATTAGCTGCAGTGTCTGCATGTTTCCTCCAGTCCACCCAGTTGTTTAAATAGAAGTCAACAACCTTGAAAATATTTCTGTGAAGAACAGCAGGCCTAGCTAGGTGTCCTTTTAATTTTCAGAAAGGAATTATATACCTTCACATTAATAAGGATGACCGACTCTTTATCACAATTGTTAGCCATTTATTAAATTTGACCAAGTCAACTAAGGGCAAACATACAAACTTTTGCACATATATTAATACTTTGCGTTTGCATGCCAGTATAAAATAATACAAAAAGTCGCTTGTTATATTTGAAGTGATTTAATAATGTAAGCACTGAAATGGCCTACTCACTGTAAAGTTCAACTCTTCATTCAACATTCAGAACACTTCTTTTGAAAATTATTTGGCATAAACATTCACTAAAAAAAAACAAGTCAATGAAGTTTTGATCGTTGTCATACAGATTTAAATTCAAAAGCTACTTGACCTTCAAACAAAATTAATATACACATATCCATACATACAACATGTATTAAAACAGTTTGGTTTTTATATGAACAGTACAAGAAAGTAAGTTAGTGCATTCTTCACAGTAGTTAAGTTTTCAACATTCACTTTTGTTTTAATCAAAATTCACAACTGAACTACACAAGTTGGTTAAACTGCAACAGACAGTAACAATCTTATCAACGGCTGGAACCTCTCCTGGACGAGAAATCAAATAGTCAATTGGTAAAGTATCTGATAGAATCGTATACTTGTTCCTGACAAGACCAATCACTCGTTCCACATGGATACGGACATGGGCAATGTTTCTAGTGGATTCTACCTCCAGGGCGGAAAGCTGACTCTTACCCTTAGTAAAGCTAGGTATTTTTACATCTGCACACATTAATCCGACACTTTCTTGAATGTCAAACCCTCTGTCAGCTAGTACTAAATCTCCTGGTAGCAGCTTCTTCAGGAAGTCACTGTTTTCAACAATTTTCTTATCACTGCTTCGTCCTCCCCAAGCTCTAGACAGGTAGGTGACACATCCTTGTGGAGAAATTCCAATAAGGAATTTTACTGTATTGTGATGCTTATATGAAGACCATGTTTTTGCCCTCGCCAAAAGGTTAGATGGACGTTCTATAAAAATTTCAAAACAGTCTATGATGACGACAACATTCAAGGCAAAATGCTTCCTGAAATCCATGGGCATGGACATTCGCAACTCCTCTCTTTCTGGCCAATACACAAATCCTCGAAGTCGAACAAAGAGCACATCTAACACTGTAAGAAATGTCCTTGATGCAGTAGACTGTGATATGTTGAACACATATGCAAGAAATTGTAGAGATAGTTTCAGTCTGAGTTTCATTAAAGTCATAACAAGTTTTTGAAATTTTGTAAAGGACACTCTACCACTTTCTGTTATGTAGGGTTTTACAAAGTCAAATACAACGATCAGTGTAAGAAATCAAGGTAAACCAGTTAAACAGCTAACTTTTTTGTCATTGTCCCTAAAAGAATCCTCACTAAATCGATGTCCCTCCAAAAGATGTTGTCTCAACTCCATATTTTCAGATGTGCGTTGCTGACATTCGTCCATAAACTTCTTAAGCAGTTCCTCTCTTTTTTCATCCTGTTTTGGGGTTTTGAAGGTTCCCAAGTTTCATAAAACATACTGGTTTATACGTTGTTTTTGTCTCATCTACATGTAGATTGTGGTGATCCTCTGGGATGCTTGAGGCTAAATCCATCAATGGATTTGGAACCAGCTAATTTCAAGGAAGGTGCCCAGTCAGGATTTGTCTTCTCAAAAAGTGTTGCAGGCTTACCTATGACAAAAGAAATTAGAATATTTTATTAATTTGATAAACGAGATTCAAGTATTAAAAATGAATCAGTAAATTTAAGTTTGAAATTATAACTTAAAAGCATGTGTGGGACTAGAAAATGCTTCCCTTGACCTATGAACTTTCACATTATGTTTATCATGAAAATTATTAGATTGTCAGGTAACCTTTTCTCAAAATTTTCCTGTAGACAGGTACATGCAAGATGAGATGAGATTGTATACATGTCCCTTCAAGTTCGATTCATTTATATCTCATTAAATATTTTAATTAGTTATTATGCCAGATCATACAAGCATTAAATATACTGAAATTAAAATACCAAAGGTAATGAATTGGGCCCGTTGGTAATTCGCTATTATCACGTAATTAGATTAACTACCTAAGTCGGTGCTATTATATTGAGCATTTATGTATAAATAAAAAATAATGAAATAATATTAAAAACGGCTGCTAGCCCCATATCTTGTTGGAATTGTAATTGATATCAAATAACCATTTCAAAAAAATATGCTGTATAGTATTAAGATACAAAAAGGTCAATTACAAGCATCAGTGACCACACATTTATCGGTGATGCGGCCTTGGGTATTTACATTGTAGCGTAGACATTTCGTGGCCTATGATATAGGCCTATATAACAAACAGCTGACTCGATCTGTTTCGACGTAGTCGTAGATTAACATTAACTATATGGAATTATCAATCTGTTTCATTTTAGTGTCTTTCTTGTAGCTTTCACTATTTACCTCCAACAAAATGATCCGAGCATACTTTGGAGTGAGTTGAGGGATTGAAGTCTTTTCTTCCGATGACCGCGATCCATTTTCTTCTCCTCTCTCTTGATAATTCTTCTGTTAATTTATCCTCGTGGAGTCTTATAGCATGGAATCCGTAAAACCCACGCTTTGTACTGTCGTTGGCACGATTATGACAGCCGTACACAACGCAGGTGTGAACCATTTTGCTTATGTTTACCTTGGGATGGCTGACTGAGCACAGCTGACCCAAATCGATTTGTTTGCCCCAAAAGATGGCGGCGTTCCCAGAATCCTCGGGTGTGTGACGTCCATCCGGAGATGTTGTCACGTAAGACGACCAAAGAGGGTCCTCCTGTGTCTCGCTGGACAAGTTTACTTCTGATGTTATTGTTAAATTCTCTTTCGACTAAGAAGCTTCTGCAGCCATGGTTTCGGCGAGTGTCGGGATGTCTAACAGACTGTATCCAAGTGCAATCTGCGAGAGCAGCTGTAGATTTGTCAAATCTTCCACGCTCACTTCCGGTTCCAAGGGTACATACATGCCGATGTATCACTTTCGAAGGGATCTACGTTTTCCAGCTGCTCTGTGGGTAACAATGGTTCCAAATGCTCGTCATGAACGACGGGTACGGATTATGACATTTTATCGTCATTTACAATAGGTTGTTCTGTTGGCAATGATGGTGCCAATGCTTCCTTTTCAGCAGCATTCTGGTTTAGGGGGTATATCACACATGCCTTAAACCCCTGTTTGATGTTCGCGGTGTTATATGCTTTTTTGAAGAGCTTGGGCCAGTTCCACTTCATGACACGTTGTTTGATGACGTTACAAACTCGGAACATATATCATGTTGGAATGTTTCAGAGAGGTCCAAACAGTCCTGTCTGACGGTCACAAGTAGTGAGTTGTGCGCGGGGGGTTGCGAAAACGCTGATCGCATGTGTGCGTGCTTCCTCTAAAAAGTCAACAGCCTCAGGAGAAATGTGTTGATCTAAAATCAATAGTTGTGGCCTTTCTGGTCCACATTCCTTCAAAAAAATGTTCTTGAACAAACGAACTGCACCGGCCTCCTCGATCAATGCTTTCCCTTGATAAGTCCAGTAGGCGTTAGATTGCCCATCAACTCTGTTAACACCATTGAGTGATTTTTCCGTTTTCCCTTTTTTGCATGGCTGTACTGTAACACTCTCTCTGGAATTTGAAACGACGCCGGTATACTTTTTGAGCGTTTCCTTGCACATACAACAACTGGAGTGTGCTCCATTTGGCCTTCCGTCTCGTCCATGTTTCAGATCCTGGAAGGCTAACTTGATATATCAAGTGTTGTTACTATCTCATGCAGGTCCTTAAAGTAGTTTGTAATGGTGGAACTATTCATGTTCCTTGCCCTCACACTGGCCAACTTCTCGAGTTTTCGTAATGATAGAGAATGATTCCTCCGGCGAGGGCATCCCACCATGCTTGCACTGGGAGGTTGTTCCCGAAAGGGGTCCTTATTTTCATATCAGTGGCGAGCCTTGCTGCTTTTCCAAGCATCTGCTGTCTGGACAGCCATAACCTTTCTACGGCTCGTGCCTGGGCCTCCGTCACCATCTCTTTCCCAACATCAGCCGGGAATACCGTGTTTCTCCCAGATTTGCTACCAACATTCACCTTACCCGATACATGGTCCGATACTGTGGATATTTTAATTGCGAACTTTTCCGCAGGTTTCGTAATGCTCAGAGAGAACCAATCTTTACTGCTTTCTGCATTTGGTCTGCAGGTACCTGCTTGTACATTCCCTTGACCTTTCTTGCCATGACCTGCTTATTATAACACAAGGGATGTTCTGGAACGTTGCTATTGATTTTTCTAGGTACACTCATAGCTGTTTAACCTGTATCTTAAAAAACACTTTTGATGAAGGAAATCGGAGTCGAAAGGGCAGAATTTAGAAGTGTCCATTCACTTCATTGAATGTGAAAAATGCCAAGGTCATCAAAACATTAGATTTATGTCGTTATGGTGAATGCATGAAGATGTTAAAACAAGGGCACCACCGTTTGCGATATTTCCTCTCGTAATGACCATGGAATTTAATTTGTAATCGTGACCTTGAAAGTTAAGTTTTGTTATCCTTTCAATAAGGTCTATTAATCTATCCAGTGTGTGATGATCTAGTTTATATATTATTGTCATTTTGTGTATACATAGGGATTGAAAGGCGTTTTTTTTAGCTCACCGTCCGACAACGTTTCCTAAAATCGCTACTCGTCATGAACGACTGAGCAGATTTTGACCAAATTGGTCAGAAGCATCCTTGAGGGAAGGGAAACCTATTTTGTATAAACCGTGGGTCTGGTCACACAGGGGTCTGAGGGTTGGGGCCCTATAGGGGAAATATTGAAAATTCTTTAAAATCCTTCTTCTGCAGGATTTAAAGGATTTGTTCCATATTTGGTCTGAAGCATCCTTGGGTGTAGGGGAACCAATTTTGTATAAACCCTGGGTCTGGCCCCCAAGGGGCCTGAGGGGCGGGGCTCAATAGGGTTCAGAAACACAGCAAATTCTTTAAAATCCTTCTTCTTCTGTAGGAATGAAAGGATTGGTTCCATATTTGGTCTGAAGCATCATTGGGTGAAGGGGAACCAATTTTGTATATAGGAATGAAAGGATTTGTTCCATACTTGGTCTGCCCTGCAGGTAGGGCGTAAGAATTGTACCTGCTGCCCCCAATTGCATGATCGTAAGAGGCGACTAAATTTGGGACCTTATCTCTTCCCTTCTTTCTAAATAACTTTCTTTTTCCTAATGTCTCCCTTGACAATGCCTCACTTTTGGCCATTTGTTGAGCGTTCGCCCCTGTGAGGAAGGCTTTGGGTTCTGTCCCCTGGCCGAGACATACCAAAGTCTTCAAAAATGGCAGTTTCTACTCCTGCTTAACGCTCAGCAAAAAGGAGTGGGACGACTGGTTCGCCCGTTGTCAGTATAATGTGACCGGATTGGGCGTCCTGCTGGGTGTCTTCGGCAGTATGTTTCAGTGAGGTAGCACATAAAGTCCGCATCAGTTCTGCGCTATCACAAGGAGACAAACACGAACATATCGCAGCCTCCCAAAATACACACACATACACTACACGCATGCATCTTGCACACAGGGGAGGCCGTCCTTAAATGACCTTAGCTGTTAATAGGACATTAAACAAAATCAAACAAACAAACAAACAAAAGTAAACAACGTGATACGTCACGAGAGTTTTTGCTTTCATACTCAAAAATCATATAGTGGGTTGCAGCGCAAATGTTGATATATTCAATGTAATTGACTCTTTATTCACAAAGGTGCCAATATGAGTCAATAATTCATAATTTAAATTCACAATTACCCATGACATGTCAATTTTGTTACAGCAACAAAGAAATATATTTGGAGAAATAAAAAAGACAATTTTACTGAGTATCCATGTGCCGTTTATGAAAAATATTGATTTTATTCTGCAAATCTCCCTTGTTTTCGAGTTGTTTTTTGTGACACAGACAACGTCATCTGGTACAAAATGGTATAAACATATTTTAGTTTGCTTCCACATGTGATTAATATTTTCAACTTGATAATTAGAAGTTAAATTTCAAATATTCAATGATAATTTTATGTTTCTTGTATTGATTTTAATTCAAATTGATAATAAAATCAGTTATGTTGGACGTAAGGGATTCTGTCTGACGTGGTGGACATTCTATATTTAGCTGCATTGGCGACTGTGTATGTTGCAATCGATTGCTGTTACATGGATTACATTGAAAAGATCTTTCCACGTGTTCATTCTTAGTCCAAACACATGTAATGGTCATAAAAATAATTTAATTGCCAAATAAATGCAAACATAAAAAGTTCTGTCTCAATGTTACGGGCGACTTTTCGGAGTTTCTACGATATTTCAAGAGCAGCACGGACTGTGTGAAACTTTTACGACATCACAAACAGGATAAATGAACAAAGACGGAAGCACTTGTTTGCCGTAAAGTGTGTTGACACTACCATGGTGACAGGCGGGAAGGACGCTCGTCAGTCTGTCTCGGTAAGTTGAGAGAAATTACGACCGACCATCATGTTACGACCGACTGAAAATGAACATAAATAATTGGTGTACTATTTAATACTGATATTGAATAGCGTTCATCTTTGGTTTCGGTACAGACGTTATATTAACGTTTTATTTGGATATTGTTAACTTTGTTTACACACGGCCCGATACGTTTCCTGTAGTTTTATAGGCAAAATCTGGACATGCTTTTGGATGTCGGTACGTAACATTGAGACCTACAAATGTTGGTCTACCGTAACGGAAAGACATTTCATATAAGGTTGGACGAACACTAAGATATGATCGTGGATGTTGGTCGTAACCGTAAGACATGCGGAAAAGAGTTGGTCGTAACTGTGAGACAGGTTTGCTGAAATCGGCTGAAGTTGGTCGTAATCTCAAGACATTCTGACTTTGGTCGGACAAACATCGAGACTTGATGGTATATTATCTATAGACCTGTGTATATCTATAGACCTGTGTATATAGAGTGTTGACGTTTTGGTATTTAGTATGGAATAATGAGTCTGGAAATCATAAATCATTAAAATATGCTATCTAACTTTGAATTTCATTTCCAAATTGACGAATTTTTGGATGAATAATTCTCAAGTAATAGTAAAGCTATGGGAATTTTTTAAAAGACTTTTAAACATAATTTTTTTTATATGAATTTGGCTTTTAAGAGATTGGAATTACCTTTCCTGGAGAGGATTTTCATAAGATGTACCGCGATACCCCATTATACATGTAGATTATATACGTACTGAACCGTGAACAAATCATACTGTTTCACCCAGGGCTACAATGTGACATTGCATAATATTATTTTAGGGGCGACCATGTATATTAGGGCAAACCTGAAATCTGTGGGGCAAAGGGATCTGAGGCAAAACAGTGTGGGTGAATGATCTGTAATAAGTGTATGCCATTTTATGACCCTTTAAGTTCAATACACATGTGCATTTGTTTTTAAACATTGTCTCCACAGAATGCTGAAAGATGCAGAAGATACAGAGAAAACAACAAAGACGACCCCACATATAGGGAACTACAAAGACTAAGAAAAAAGAAACAAAGGCTAGATAGAACAAAACCCCAGATAGAAAAGTAAGTATCTAATCCATGTACTAC